ACCGGTTTCCATTCCACTGAACAGCAGGCCTTCACGACTATAGGATTTGCCCCCGTCTGTTGTTCATCACACAGTGGTGTTAAAAAAAAACGAAAATGCATACTTTGGTTATAGTAACCTTCTTGGTATTTTTCCATTCAATCTGATAGGTTGTCTGGGGGTTGTAAATACAGATAGAGCTAAAAAAATCACAATGTTAATTGTATCAACGAAAGCGATATTCAAATTCAAATCTGTATTGTGGGTGAATTACAAAGTTGGTTTTCATTGAATCCCATAGGATCTTAACACACTGGGCTCAATCGATAGTTCAATTAAATAGTAACTTATGACGTTCATTCACGGGTGCTGTAAAGTTGGGTGTTTCTCAATGTTTCATCCAGTAGTGACTTGAATGAATCGATGGTTGGTGCACAAACGACTTGAGGTGGAAGAGAGTTCCGCGTATTACAAACTCTGAGGCTGAAAGAATGATGCGTGCAGTCTGGCCGACTCTTTTAGAGCAAAAGTTTGAACGGATGTCCTCCGAGATGACCATTCCTGGATAGTGTTAGCAGAGTACTACACGAATGGTTAAGTTGATGTAGTATCATGTCTCTCCGTATTCGACGGTATTCAGAGGAATAGAGTCCGAGATTTCGCAGCCTTTCACCGTAGGTCTTCGATTGTAACCCTTTGACCATTTTGGTTGCTGTTCTCTGCGCATGTTTGAGCGCCTTTTGGTCACGAATCAGTCATAGATTCCAGTCCTGTATAGCATACTCGGTGTGTGGCCTAATGTATGCTGATAGCAAATGGGGAAATAGGTCTGTTTTGAATGATCCAAAAACACGTTTAAGCAATCCAGTGTGCTTTATGGCCTTCGATCACACTCTTGCGCAATGTGTGGAACATCCTAGATCCTCACAAACAATAAGTTCCAGGTCCTTTTCGTTTGTAGAATGCGGTGATGACTGAGTTCCAAGGAAGTATGTAAAGCGACCCCTGTGTCGCAGCGAAACAACCTTGCATTTCTCAGCGTTGAATTCGATGTCATTAGTGATAGGCCATCGGTAAGCTTCATCGAGAGTTTCCTGCGAGGTTTCATAATCTTCAGGATATTGTACCGTCCATGTTTTGGCGTCATCAGCGAATAATAATGCCTTTTCTCTAAAGACATTTGGTAGGTTGTTTATGAATGCTAGGAAAAGGTACGGACCGAGTACGGATCCTTGTGGAAATCCACGGATAGTCTCAATCAGTCCCGATGGAGAATCATTAACTCGAACCGATACGGTACGTTGTCGAAGAAATTCCTCCATCCAGTCAAGGAGCAGTCCTCGAACACCGTAGTTATATGGAACATTAAAAATCCAGATCATTGAAACCAAATGTTTTGCTCGCTCAATGGTGGTTAATTTCTTCGTAGAGTAAGTGGCGTGGGGTTCAGTTATAACCACGTTGACCTGTTTATGCCACCAGAGAGACTCGGTTCATTTTTTTTGCTTACGTGCTCATACAACTTGACTGTGGGGATACTCCGAGGCCTCATTTGCGGACGATTAATTTTTTAACCGGTCCATTTCCTAATCTTAAGGCTAATCTGCCCTAAAAGAAGATACGTCGGTTCCATGGAGAAATCCAAGAAGCATCTTGTAGGTACGGTGCAACGTGGCATCCCCTGTCTCACTATGTTCTACTTCACAGATGCATCCCGCTCCTTTAACCGAGCCGGTGCAAAGTGCAATCAATAACCGTATTTTGTGGTGGGCCATATTTGCCTACTTTACGGCCCTATCCTCGAGTACTTCTGTCTCTGTTGCAGAACGACCTGTGCAAACGGAAACCCATCACGTTCACTGGCAAAGTCGCTCATTGTTCGCCACCGTTTATTCACAGTTGTCGATTGATGTGGCTTTTTGCCAACGTGAAAATACGCTGTGTCTCAGCGCACCTATTCACTGATCACAACCGTTAACTAGCCTACCACGTCATACCTGTGGCAGTTTGACTAGAGAAAATCGTTTGATCAGTTATTGTACAAATTCGTTTGTTCTTTTTCTGACGGATTGTTTTCGATGCGATCAAAATGGAACTGTGCCAAGTCACTTACATCTACAGAGAACAACCACAGTTTTTTCTTGGGAATCAATTTGGTATACTGAAAACGTGCAATATTCCCAACATGGCAAGTTGCTTGCTGGACTAAAATGCAGGTCAGTAGCGATTTGATTGCACGTCAAGCTGTTCGCTTCCAGTCTCGGGGTCCGAATAATAGGCGCGTTCCGGGTCGTCACAAGACTCCGTAGTCGGCGGCTGTGGGGTTTCGCTGAAGTGAGGAATATCAACAGAATGAAACCAAGACTGTACATCCAAAGGACATTTGTGTTGCAACTCTGGTAACTTGGACATTAGTCTCACTTCTAACCTGTTTCCTTCATCCAACTCGTTTCTTACGTCCTAATTTACGCCGCCCCTCTTTCCTTCGCTCTCCTCCCATGCGGATCACGGAGCCTATTTGGCGCACATCCTTCCTGCATGAACATGTGTGTTGACAGGTGATGGAGAGCACCCGAAGTTATTGTGGTCTGAATCAGCTCTGCTCACGTTGTGGAAAAGAATGTTTCATTGAGATTAGTCAAGGAACACTGGATGTGGTGTGCATGAACCGCGTTATGAACCAGGTCGTCCATTCTACTCGTCAATCGGTTCTTGCAAAACTTTGTCATCAACCAAACGTAGACTAGGTGAACTTCATAGTCATGAAAAATTTGGGAACCTAAGCCCCAGAGACCACGTCAAACCCCCATTCGGACAGGCGTGGTATCGAGTCAGGTTGTCTATCCTGGCGCATCCTATTTAGCGTGGTTGACATCCAAGACGGTCTGTGTGCTGGTATCGATGAATTTCTCGTCAGACAGTCTTTGCCGGTTGGAACATGTTTTTACAATTACCAACGCCTCATCTTCTTGTTCCTTCCCTTGTGTTGTTAGGGGAACGATTTGTAAATGAACGCGTCAGCGTTCTTACCACGAATGCTCGAAATTGAAATTCTACAAGTCATGTGGGCAGTTAGATAACAATGATGATTAAATATGAAGACCTTAATCTACAGCAACAATCAAAATCCTTTTATCATCTAATGTTGTATTTTATATACGGCTACAGTGGATCGTGCTGTTTTTATTCCTCCACTCCGTTCTTTCCCTTTTTCGCATGGGTTCCTCTACTGCGCACGATCTCAAGTGATATGTAAAGTTTCTGTCCATATGGCATCGTACGATGATACTGAATTCAGTTGTGATACTAGTCATCCTCGTTATCCTAGTACAGTTTCTTCAGACGAAACGAGCCTTTATCTCAATTTGACGCATAAACTTTATCCACTGTACTAGGTCACGTGGGTTATGTCAATCCTCCTAGTTCGAGACCAGTCTAATCCATGACTTTTGTTACACACTGTTAGTGTGATGAGCAATAGACGGGGAAAGCCCCATCGTCACGAGGACCAGCTGTTCAGTGATGGAAACCGATAACCTACGCCCCGGGACTTATAGTGGCGAACCAAATGAGGCCCCGTTAGGTTAGGCGTGATATTGAACCGCACGACAGCAAAGCTGCCTACCACCAAATTTGAGCGGCAGTGGTGGGGCTCGAACATCGGACCATAGGGTCCAAAACACACTGTTGAGAGCGATTAAACCACTGCGACACCATCACCAACATTGGGCTCTACAGTGGATTGTTAACACGCAAAGCACTCGCTCACTTTCTGTACACACGTGATTTACTTGTATTCTGGTTGGGCTGTTCATCGAGTAACGACAATTTTCACAAACGGACCATTTTTGCCCGTTTCTAATGGTTTCTACTGGTTTTCATTTCACGGTTGTTAACTACGACTTGGGACTTATTCAAATAACCAATTACACTCCTATTTGCTTTTATCTTTGTTTTAGAAGAGTTGACTTTAATAAGAATTGTAAAATGGACGATTTTCGTGGTGAATTTCATTTCTTGATTTCCGTATTGGCTGACAACAGAACTGGTCATGCTTCCTCTGGTATAGATAGACATATGAGTTATGATCTAAAAGCTATTGTGCCCGAATGTGTTCGTAGAATTTCGTTCTGGTAATTTTTTGCTC